TTTTTAATATTCATTTTCGAAACAGCAAAATAGTGCAATTAAAGTGGTCACCAATCGCAAAATGCCTGTCAAAAAAATGCTATGAAACTCGGATATAAAGTTATAAAGGAGAAATAAAGACAATAATACTTATATTTTCTGTTCCAAAAAGCGAAAATTCTAATGAAGAAGAGAAAAATTATGTTAGTAACCATGGCGACACCAATATCCTCACACGTGAAAGATAAAAATAGTATCTTCACTGCGCGCGATGAAGATATGATTTTTTAGTAAAAGGAATAATCCTGGTATTTCATCAGTATAATAAATGAATTTTATTTTCGAGTGGCAAAACAACAGTTTAAGAACGAGCGCAGCGAGTGAGTAAAATATTGTTTTTGCCACGAGAAAATAAAATTCATATCTCAAGGCCACCGTGTAATGTTCTTTTTATTATTAAAATAATAGATTTTTATTCGCCAAAAAGTAATTGTGACGGTGTCAAATTTACAGTACAGCAATATAAGACATTGTTTACAATAATCTTGAGAAAAAACAATGAGCTGAATAGGGCTCTACGATGACAAAATATAAGCAAAGCTTTGAAAAATGTGTAATTAAAATTCAAAGGATGCAAGACGCCTACAAATTTTGGAGGGAAATGACCGAAATTACGTCATCGATAAACTCAGCTGTGAGATTATGGAAAATAAACCATTCGGGTCACGGATGTAGTTTTTATGAATTTTACGAGTGGTACATTTTCTAGTAAAACACTCGTGTCTATAAAATAAAAAATAATAATCAGTAAATCTGTTGTTTGTGGCAGATGGTGTTTCAATTTATTGCAAGAGAGTTTCAATCAAATTGACCGTATACGCGTAAAACTTGAAAAAAATGTATGTTTTGTTTTAACATGTAAGCACAGTTACAGATACATAAAACGCCATCAGATCCCAAATGTAAATGTAAATGTACAAAAAACCGTATAACCGAATTTAAACTGAACTCAAGTTTTAACAATATATTATCAGTCAAAAACTTTCTTAAAAGTTTTTCATTACAGCTATCAGTCTTTCCGATTTCTAATTAAAATGGAATAGATATCCACGGGCTTAACTATGTCTTGGTACAATAATGCCATTTCTTCCTTGCTCAGCTTCCTGACTGCATCTGTGAATCGAGAATCATGTAGTATACTATCTGGATTATCAGGATTAATTTCACTGATTGTGCCACATAGTGTGCTACTACTGCGCTTTCGTGGTTGTACTTCACTGGGGTTGACGTGGTGGTTCTTTTCTCTTTCACTGAAGTGTCGTCCATTCTGCCCCTCCAAGAGCGATCTCTTTTTCTTCTCTCTGTCGTGGATGGCAGATGGGTTATGCTGTATGATCTCAAATAATCTCATATTTCGTTGCCTCTCTATTTCTTGAAAAACTTCTGACCAGCTTTGAAAATCTTCCAAATGAATTGTTATACTCATGACAGCAATAATCACTCTGCGAACAATATTGAGCAATACCTTTACAATCATTTTGTTGGAGTATAAGAAAGGTATTTCCACGTGATTAATTAGCGGCACCTTAAAAGCTTCAGAGTGTTAAAAAGATTGTGAAAGTTTTACTTAATTAACTTCAGTTATTATCTGTAAAATGAAATTTGCACATTAGTAACGTCTGTTATTTCACTGATCTCGAGAATTACATTTGCACCTTAGCACGTTCAGGCAATCAAACGTGGACTGAAGCGGCAGCACAGTACATGTTGACGTCAGATCCCATTCACCTCTCTGGTTACTTTGTAATTGGGTGCAAGTGAGGAAATTTATGACCCCCGTTGTTCTTATTATCATTATTATTATTATTATTATTATTATTATTATTATTACTTGTTGAGGCCAATCCTCAACAAGAGAACATTTTTTTTGTTTTCCTAGTCCGTTCCATTCCGTTTTGTAATTTATTCTCCCAGCATGCTTAGTGAGCGCGTCTCAGTGTCGTCGTGGAGCGAGAAAGAAACCATGTGCTTTGTAACGCGCTAGTCGCCGGGAGTTTCTCATCGTATGGTGAGTCTTAGGAGCTCGTTTATTTCCAAATCCCTTTCCAGCAGTGATTAAGTATTTGTTTTGTAGGTTTTTACTTGCGAGGTGAAGCTTGTTAGCCAAAGATGAGACTCCAAATTCGATCCTGTTGTGTTGTTGAGGAAATATGCTGAGTGTGCAACTCTCGATTATTAAACTTGTGTTCAGGGACCCTTGTGTTGTGAAAGCGCGTTTTTGTCCCCTGGACATTACTTTTATTATTATTATTATTATTATCACTATTATCCTCATTAAACACAGCTTCTGGATGGCTTGCTGGAGTCTTCCTTAAACGTCAAGTCATCACCTGTGACCTTTGGTGTCCAAGACTTTGTTTCTTGGGACTTAAAGCCAAAATTAACAATGAACTTTATTACGCAGTAGGAGAGACTACCTTCATTTCATCAGGTTGTTTGTGAGTTATTCAACTGGAACGTCTTAGGCGCGATCCATTCAACCAAAATTTCCGGAAATTTTGGTCCAAAAAACTCAATGGATCGGTTCGGTCCAACCGGAAAAGTTTCGAAAAAACTGGTCCACCTTTTGAGGTGGTCCTCTTTTCCCGGTCGGACCGGTCTGAATTTTGGTTGAATGGATCGCGCCCCTTGTGTCTGTAGACCAGGCTAGGAACACCCCCGACCACCCCCGGAACACCTTCAGAACACCCCGGAACACCTCCTTAAAGGCTGGAAACCCCCAACCACCTCCTCCCCCGTCCCCGAACACCTTAAAATACAAAAATAAGACAACTAAACATCTCAAACTCTCCCCAAAAAGTTCATCCATAAATTAATATGTTTTATCCGCTATAACTGAAAAAACAACGTAGATCGCACTCTACTTCTTAACTTCTGAAGAGCTAATAAATACAGTAAGTTCTCGTTAATACGGACACTGAGGGAGACTTAGCAAATGAAATGTCAGCAGTAAATCTCGAAATCGTGGAAATTAAACAAGATTTCTCGAAGGAAGTCTTTGTAGAGGACCGCAATTCTTTAGCCGTGGGCATATCCTCAAACGGGAATATTGTGGAACATCTACCATCCAAAGCAGATTGTATTATACTTGCTACGAAATTTTTAAAAACCGAAATCGCAAACTGGTGCTACGCTAAGATAATCGTGCATATGCTTTTATTCGCCAAGCATTTTTCTTCACAATAATTTGCAGCCTCAAAAGTTTTGTCAAACAGTGGGAAATGTCGAAGAAACACGTGATCACTAGACTTACCGGCTGTAGATGAAACACACGTTAAAAATTAGACAAAATACCAACATCCACGTTCCCGTGTGCCCGTTCTGCGTTATTTTACAGTTGTGTGAGAACGAAACTTTACTTTTAAGCCATAGTATATACTGAGTCAAATAAAAACCTTTAGCTTAGAAATTTTTCAAAATAGAGCAAAGATTTGCATATCTCTGTCACTGAAAACAGGAAATTTCCTTGTGCTCTCTATGAAAGGTGTTAATTGTGAAGAAAACAAAACCAGTTCTCTACTAGATTTCTCTACTGAAATCCGTGGGAAGCAAATCTAAGTTGATAGATTTTCTTTGGAGTATTCTATGTCATTACCCATGATGGAGTATCGTGAGCTATTAAAATGGGAAGACCAATGAAAATACTGGGGTCTGGAAGAGGTGCCACTCCACTGCTGGTCTAATAGCAGAATGTTTTTCCAAATCAGATTTATAATACAAAGAAACTGTGTATTTTGGAAATTAACACTTAAGTTTTTTTGTTTCAAAATTTCTCGTAGATTTCCATCCAGAACAAATGAATTACACAAAGAAAAATGTCAGCTATTATTGGTCCAAAAGAGGTTATTTAAATTTGTTAGAACTGGATCGAATTTTTTTTTTTTTGGTACCTGTATGTTTGTATTTTTAGTTTGTGTCCATGACTGTTTAGTTTTAAAAAGTGTAACAATCGTCATTTATGCTGAAAGGAAAATGTTTCCAATTTGTCAAACTAGCTTTCATTAAAACGTCCATTTAAAAATTACCGACTTAAACTTCACTCCAATTATATCCCTGGTTGATTTTTTTTGTTATTTAAGACCCATTCAACTCCTCAAACGCGAGGGACGAAGGAGAAGAACTTCTCACGCGCCCATGCAAGCTATCACTAGTGAAGTAAAATCAATGTAAAATTTCGGCCTAGCGATGTCCACTAAACTGTGGACAATCGTACTTTCTGCTTAATCTTACTCTGTTTTTAATCACAGTTAGTAAATACAAAGAGAGAACACTAAGGCTGACCCGCCCGAGAAAGGTTCCCACACTTCACGTTAATATGAACTAAATAAGTTTCGAAATTCCCAAATGTTAAGGCAAAGTCGGCACATCTTTCGATAAAAATTTGTTTTTATTAGAATCACTCGATTTGAGCTGAGCATTGTAGAGAAAATGTTGAGTAATAACACCACTGCGAAACGATACACATGGCAAGGTTTGGATACCTTTATAACTTCACCACACTGGGGAAAAGGTTCAGTGACTTCTTTTTTATTATTCGTCTTTAGAAGAAAACAAGTTGATAATTTAAGGCAGAGGAAACAAATCCGAGTGGATTCATTTATTCCCCTATTTTTCAACAAAGATGCAGCGATGCATAGAGATATCTTTATCTAACAAATGGAAATTAAAGACATCTGTCTTCTCGCTTAAACCATACACTCGCTATTTTTTTCTTTTTAACACTCAAAATACATGTATGTAGGAAACATTTGTTTTAAAATTTCCTGGCACGTTTTTCTTCAAAATAATTTACGTCTTTTGTTTTGTCAAACGGTGGGAAATGTCGCACAAAACGCGTGTTTGCAAGACTAGCCAGCTGTAAATGACAATATACTTTGAAAATAAAAAAACTAACATCCGCGCTGCTTTGTAAAATCAAGCTTTGATACTAGGGTCGTTGATGCCTGACGCACCCATAAATCATGGAAGCCGAGGGTTTCTCGTCCCTGACAATCTTCATCCTTGTGCTCCTCTCACTAATTGCCCTCTTCGCAGTTCTTGGCAATGGGTTTGTTCTTGGTGTCGTTGCCCGGTTTGAGAAGCTTCGCACCTTTCCAAACATTCTGATTGCTAATCTGGCGTTGGCCGACCTTATGAACGCGCTCGTCAACATACCTATCTACGTGCTTTGGGCCGTCTTGAATGTCAAATGGTTTAGTGGAAAGACTTCAACGATTATTTCACTGTTTCTGTCCCACTTGTTTATCCTCGTCAACGTTGTCTGCATGTTGGTGCTGTTGGTAAACGTGTTTCTGGCGATAGCGCTGGACCTGAGATATTTCACATGGAAGACGGATAAAAAAGCTTTAGCGATAGACCTAGCTGTGTGGTTGGTCTGTCTTACCAGCACTGGTTTGTTATCGTGGTCCATCTCTGATATTGATCTTCAAGATGCTTCTGTTTTCAAATATCGTCGTTCCTTTGTTACGGAAGCCAAATTTATTTCCTCAGCCATTGGCGCAACGTTCGTTGTCACTGCAGTGGTATTTGGTGTCCTTGCCTTCTGCTCAATTAAAAGGAAGGTTCGGAAGGTGAGTGGAAGGGTCTCTACCAAGCAAGCTCTAGGCCTATATTTAGCAAAACAAAAGTCTTTCGATTTGAAAGTTCTTCTTAGTCAAAAAACATGATACAAATACATTTTTTCCTACAAATAAAACTATAGAGGGGTCAATCGGAACTTTGTGTTCAATTTCCAGCATTCTCGCTAGAATTTGAGGGCAGTTTTCTAAATCAAAGCTCCCAATTTAAGAACAAAGCAGAGACATTTAAGTCTTTTACTTACCCGTTCTGACTGTAGCAACACGCTGACACGCTCTAAAAGCGATTCAACATTTTCGTAACGGATCATGAAAAATTTTTCTCATTATTTTGGGGGCTAGCGCTATTTTTAAGGCTTCTTTCCCAGAATCTTAGGCCCGAATTTCACAAAGCAATTTAAAAAGGCTCTCAGCAAGCTTGCAAAGTCTCAGATGAATTATCATATCACCCCCTTTTACTCGAGCTTCCGTAGGAGCGCCAGAGCCTTAAAAAGTAAACCAAAAAGGGAATCGTGGTCACAGGCTTTCCTAATCGGAAAACGTGGATCGCGACATAACATAAAATTTCAAAACGCCATGTTTTGTGAAGAAAGGTTTAGAAAGATTAATACAAAAAATGTCGAGCTTCAGTCCGTAACCTGCATAGCTGGCAGTTTCTCGTCCTCCTTATACACATAGTATGCACGCCCGCACCCAGTCTCCTCACAGTTAATCGCCTCCTCCTTTCTTATCTGGTATCCAAGGAAGCTCGAGTTAACGCCTGAACAGCGTCTTGTTATTTTCCGTTCCTGGAAATGTGTTTCCTCGATCGGTTAAGAGCTTAATAACCGCCCTACCCTCTAATCTTCCGTTTTGGGGTTAAATGGGAGATCAAGCTATACTTGCCTTAATAAATAACTTTAAAAGTGACCCACGAATTTTGGAGAGGCTTGTCTAGTATTTCTAATCGTATCAAATTATATCAACAAGATATTATTTGTTTTGATTAACGAACGTTACTTATCTCTATCCGACCTCTTGAGGAGAAAGTGCAAAGAATAGGCAGCACATATCGGTAAAATAGCGGTCAGTCAAGCAGAATTTAGTTAAATTTAAGAACTTTCGACTCGTTGTCACGAAATAAACTAACGTGGTCCTTATTCAACAATCCTTAAAATACACTGCAATCAAATAATGATAAATTGTCTATGGCGTTGTATTTATAGAGAAAGCAGTTTAATCTGCCTCGACTCCAGGCAGAGGCCAGGCTTCAACTGGATATCCAGGCTGCCAAGACTGTTGCCTTTACAATACTAGCATTCTTTGTTTGTCACATTCCCCCCGTCTGCATTGCAATCTTGGTTCCCCCCCAACCCGATGTCACCGCTGCCAGTTGGCCTGGTCATGTGGCCCAGCTTAGCTTATTCCTGTCCAGCGGGATGAATCCTGTTATCTACTGTTTCCGAGCCAGAAGGTTTCGCCGAGCACTGAAACAGCTTCTTCAAGATCCCTGTGGAAAAACCGCTTTCCGAGAAACAGACCAAGAGAAAAGAGTCCAACAGAATGTTCCACCTCAGAATACAAGAGTAGCCGAAAAAGGCAAAAAAATTGCGAATGAACTTGGCGAGCCAATGCAAGATCCATCAGCTTTCCCATCCAATAGCTACACACGTCAACTGGGTCTCGGAGTACGAGGCTGTAAGAAGGTGGAAAACAGTGGGAGGAAAGGAAAAGAGAGAAGAGCGCGCTCTTGCAATCAGGTCACGCCCTTCTCTCCACAAGATGTAGAACCTCAGATCATCCCAAGGTTAGCTTGGGTTGATAACCACCCCGCAGACTCTTCAGGGATACGCTCCGATGAAAAAAATCCAACATGCAGAGAGGATTATACACAAAATAAAATAACTGTGGAGGTACATCCAGAACCTAAAAATCTCACAACACCTAATGAGAACGGTTCCAAGGGGAAAGAAGTCTTTGCAATGGTTCAGTCTGATTCCAGGGACAGTCAATCAAATCATAAAGTGATAAAAAGTCCAATGGTTACTGTAGATTACCATGGACACGCCATTGTGGAGATGCCTGAAACAGATCCTGTGAGCCATTTATCAAACCCCATAATTATGGACAGTCCTGAAACTAATGAGGACAATGCAAGAGAAGTTATCGCAGAAGTTAATTCAAGTTCAACAGACGACCCATCCCAGGAGAAAATTGCAGAAAGTCCAGCTGCCTGTGCCGATTACGGAACACGGATCACCTCAGATACTAAAGAACAACCAGTAAACCAGGAAAACGTGGAAATTCAACTAGATTTCTCGGAGGAAGTCTTTGTAGAGGACAATTCATTAGCCTAGAGCGTAGCCTTACACGGGAATATTTTGGATTATCCACCATCTAAATCAGATTAGATTTTCCAAGCTGAGAACTTTAATATAAACCGTAATCGTAAACTGGTGCCCTGCTAAGATAATCGTGCTTACGTTTAAATTCTGAAACTCATTTTCCTTGAAAATAATTTACAGCCTCATTTGTTTTGTTAAACAGTGTTTTTTGGGGTGTACTGAATGTGTACTGGAAAGACTATTTCTGTCCCGTCTCTCTCTCCAGATCGTAACTGCTCTTCATTCCAGTGCAATGCTTGGATAAAAGTGATTATTCTGCTGCTCATTAAAAGAAGAATCTTAAACAGTTCCTTATATCCAGAGAGCATAAAGTGTTAAGTAAATAAAACACAGCAAATCTAAGTTTATTGATAATTTTTAGACTGCTCTTAGCCGTTCCGCATGAAAGCGTTTACGACTCATACCTGCGGTAAATGAAATGAAAGAATTTTTGCCAAAACAAATGTATTTTTGCGTTTTAAATCCTCCGTTTTACAGAGCTCCTAATACAAAGAAAATACCTTTTAAAAAATTTAAAACACTTAAACTTTTTTCGTTTTAAACTTTCTTGTTGATCTCCGTCCAAAACAAATGACACAAGCGAAATAAAAAAATCCGTTGTCAAAGTCTGTTCTACTCCCCTATGCTATCAAAAGATTTCGTTAGCTTCCAATTGACTATTTGTTCGTCAGTTTTTTTTAATTCCCCTTCAGCCCTTCAAGCGCGTAGGAGGAAGGAGAGCAACTCCTCTTGTGCTCTTCATCTTCTGACACGCGTAATATGTCCGACCAAGAGAGGATAAAGGGGACAGAGAAGGCATCCCCCATACACACTCTATTCCATAGGTAATTCGTCTCCAGTTATTTTAAGAATCGGGATAAAGTTACCTCGCGCGCTGCGTGGATGTTGCGTGGAGGTTTCGCATGACTAAATGCCCTGCAAAACATGTCGGGCGAAAGGCAATGAAAGCGTAAAGAGATCGAGAGCATTCCTGAATATTGACGCGAAATGAGTCGTCGCTCACCTGCGAAAAGGGAATCGCTGGACTCTTTGACAACCCGTGAAATCAGTTTAACTCGAAGTTGTCGTAACTTCAGTGCTTTAATAAAATGAGAAATTTCGCCGGTCTGTTGAAACCGGTCGTATGTACAATCAAGCAAGTAGGACGCCAAGCGTTATTTTTGTTGAATAATAAAAGACTCATAAAAGAATAAATATCAAACCAGAAATTGATCTCTTCAAACTGTAAATTATAAATGATCCTGAGAGAATATTCAGTGTGTTAAGGATTTCCTGCTGTACTGTTACCTCTATACAAGAAAGGAAGGGCGATTCTTTTGTAATTTCCGTTTCGCTGACACAGCTTTAGCAGAAATCTCTCTGTAGTCGTTTTCGTTGACAAAACGAATAGCAATATCGCTCTCCGCGTCCTCCGCCATTTTGTTCTGCGTCAATTCGTGAAGGACGCGTGGCTCTGAGCGTGGATCATCCACGCGGAACACATTCACACTATGTGATTGGCTGTTGTCTAATCCCCCTTGGGATCTGTGGTCTTAAAAATAACTCGAGACGAATTACCTACGGAATAGGGTATGTATGGGGGATTCCTTCTCTGTCCCCTTTATCCTCTCTTGGTCAGACTAACAAATCGACAGCAATTTTCCATGATCTGTACTCTTATAGACCATAGAAATGACGTCAAAATGTTCAAAACTCAAGTGTAACCATGAGCCGCAGGCGAAATATTTCTCTGCAAAGTTTTGAACGTTTTGACCATTTCCTATTCATTTCTATGTTCGCTAAAAGTACAGACCATGGACATTATTGTCGATTTGGTATTTACTAAAAAAATCTACAATTTTTGACGTCCGTGGCGAGTCCGAGAGAAAAAACACAAATTGCGCCATCATTACTTCATTTCTATGGTCTGTACCCTTATTGAACATAGGTCTCCACCAATCAGCGCGCCTGAAATCGTTCAGTTATTGTAAAAGCCTTTTTGAACCCCTCTGGCCCCTGCCATGAAGTAATTCCACTCAGTTGTTCGTACCCAGCCTCGTACCCAAGCCAGTTCACGCCATCCGCGTTACAAGAGGAGGCTTGGAACCGAGCGCGATAGTCCTAAGCGAATTTTCCTGACAAGCTTGACAGGTGACGTCACATCCGAAATCGCCGAGGACGACTCGGAACGAGGCTGGTTCGTACCAGGAGCTTGAAACCGGAAGGCAACCCCTATACCAGGCCTACCGTGTGCCACAAAATTTTTGCGGGAGTTTATTTTTGCGGATTGGCATTTTTTTTGTCTTTTGCGGGAACTAATTTTTGCGATTAGGGCAGATTGGTTTTTCTTGCTGGGAATTAATTTTTGCGATTTTCAGGAAGTACCCAGTTCCCAGCATTGATTAGATATTCATTTTTATTGAGTACGTGTAATAGAATTACATACCGTATTTTCAAGCAATATTTCGTTGTTTCTGAATGAAAGAGACAAGTTGTGATTCAACAGACACGATTTCATAGTACTGTATTTTTGTGTAGCAAATTTAAGTTGGAGAATATTTAGTCTGGAGTTATCGCTGGAAAAAAAAATCGCAAAAATTAGAACCTGCAAAAATTTCGTGCCACACTTTATCTCTCGGCGTTTTCACCGAGAGTTATTTATTAGATACATTTTAGAGCACTTTGTCTCGTGAAAATGGAAGGTCTGCTCCGTTCATGAAAGCATTATAAACATGAGATGTGACAAAGGAATACTGAACGCCATTAAAAAGTCAAAAAAGCCATTCTCAGGGGGTTTGGTTTTGCAGACTGGTTTGTGGGACCTGAAAGATATTAAATTCGCGCTAAATTCGTTCTAAAAATACACTGTAAATCAGAAAGATCTGTTTTAGCTCCCAAAATAGGGTCGTTTCGGTGAGTAAAATACAGTCCTGTTTTTGAGTCTAATTTGGCTCCCTTAAATCAGGGCCAATACAGTCAGATTAGCTAGGGCTGATTTGGTCCCAGGACTGACATGGGCTCTAGCGCGGGCTAAAATAGCCTTTTGATTGAGCTTTTTTGGCCTAAATTGTTCTCAAATGGCTCCAGGAAGGGCTGAATCAGACTTTGGCCTGAAGGGCTGAATTGACACTTGGGGCTGAAACATGAGCCTTTTTAATTGCGAAATTCTCCATATATATAATATTGTGGTTCCTAAATAAATTCAGTAACATCTGTAAACTTGAAGAAGGCTGGTATGGCCAGCCGAAATATTGTTGAAAATATTGTACGGATAGGCCGCGCGGAATAATGTGGCCTAGGAACTAGGCAGGCTCTGTCCCATATTGTTGGTTATTATGAACTAAGCGAGTTTCGAAATATTAGTGTCGCTAGAATTGTGGTTAGTATTAGAGAAGACTGAAATACGACTGGGAAACTTTAGACATTGCAATATTCGAATACCTTTATATTTGCAACAAACTGGGGAAAAGGCTCACTGTTCGCTTCATTAGAATGTACCCCAACAAGAGAAAAAGTGGACAATGTGACGTAGGAAAACAAATCCGAGCTCAATGATTTATTTCCATATTTTTTCAACGACATTTGAATGTAGCAACGCTTACGTACATGTACATCGACCGGAGATTAAAGTACTTGAAAGACATTGTAATACAGCAGTCTCTCTTCGTTCCTCTCCGTTGTATTCGCATGGGAGGCTAACATCTGCCTTTTCTTTTAACATTTGAAAAAAGGAAAAAAATTATTTTGAAAATCTTTTTTAAATATCTGTTCTCTATCCGCAATAACATCACGTGTCAGCTGCAGATGGAACTTCATTAAAAAAAAAAAAGAAGCTAATATCTGCGCTGCCTTGACACTAAGATCTTGACGCCTGACGCAGGCAAACACTCATGGAAGCCGAAAGTTTCTCAACCCTGACAATCTTCATCCTCGTGCTTCTGTCACTAATTGCTGTCTTCGCAGTTCTTGGCAATGGATTCGTTCTTGGTATCGTTGCCCGGTTTAAGAAGCTTCGTACCTTTCCAAACATTCTGATTGCTAATCTGGCGTTGGCCGACCTTATAAACGCGCTCGTCAACATACCTATCTACGTGCTTTGGGGTGTACTGAATGTCAAATGGTTTAGTGGAAAGACTTCAGCGATTATTTCGCTGTTTCTGTCCCACTTGTTTATCCTCGTCAACGTTGTCTGCATGTTGGTGCTGCTGGTAAATGTGTTTCTGGCGATAGCGCTGGACCTGAGATATTTCACATGGAAGACGAATAAAAAAGCCTTAGCAATAGACCTAGCTGTGTGGTTGGTCTGTCTTACCAGCACTGGTTTGTTATCGTGGTCCATCTCTGATATTGATCTTCAAGATGCTTCTGTTTTCAAATATCGTCGTTCCTTTGTTACGGAAGCCAAATTTATTTCCTCAGCCATTGGCGCAACGTTCGTTGTCACTGCAGTGGTATTTGGTGTCCTTGCCTTCTGCTCAATTAAAAGCAAGGTTCGGAAGATGAGTGGAAGGGTCTTTACCAAGCAAGCTCTAGGCGTATATTTAGCCAAACAAACGTCTTTCGATTTGAAAGTTATTCTTAGTCAAAACACATAGTACAAATCCTTTTTTTTCCTACAAACTAAACTGTTGAGTCAGAGGCACCCAACGACGGTTTCCTTCTAACTACATAGAAAATACTTTTTAGGCTATCCGTAGTACTTTTAGATCTCTAGTAATGCCATTCTAAGTGGCGCTATAAAATTTGTATCTGTTTGGTCATCCCAGGAGAACTTGAGTCTTTTCGAAATTACATGGGCTTCAGTATTATTATTTAGAAAATTTTAGATGCAATTTAACGTATTACGGAAGTGAGAGAAAAATTCCTCTTTCCATCACATTTTTGAATCCAAAAATTTTAGTTTTCCTTTTTAGAACGAAAAATAGCCTAATTTGGACAGTGAAATGTGAAAAATTATACCTCAGAAAATCGTAGTGAATTTAAGATAAGCTTCAAAAATTGTACATGAATAGAACGGTCCTCTCGAAAATTTTTAGCCGTTCTCAAGCAATAGAAAATTCTAGGCAATATTTGCTTCTCCGAACAGATATTTCACAGAAAACAGTCGTTGGGTGGCCCTGTTTAGTGGTCAAACGAAATTTTGGGTTCAATTTTCAGCATTTTTGCTGGAATTGAGAGCAGCCCTCTTTGAAAGTCATCGACTATTTTAAAGCACCCAATTTAATAGACTGTTCACAGTCCCCTATTTTTTCGTAGCGCGTCTTACCGTTAATGGAGGCCATCTTGATTTTCAACTGTACCGGGGGGGGGGGGGCGTCGGGGATTATATCTGTAGGGGGGGGGGCGAGAAAATTTTTGTCGCTTCCTCCCAAACCGCCCCCGCCCCCTAAGTAATTTTGACACCCATGCAAGATGGACCCCGTAACGCAAAGCGCTCGATCTCGACGATCTTACGGAAAAATGGAGGACTGTGAACAGTCTACCAATTTGATAACAAAGCAGAGACATTTAAGTCTTGTATTTACCCGTTCTGATTGCAGCAACATGCTAAGACCCGCTAACACACTCTAAAAGTGATTCAAGATTTTTGTAACGGATCAGGAACAATTTTTCTGATTGGGCTTGAGGGCTAGGACTATTCAGTAAGGCTTCTTTATTAGTCTTAGGCTCGAATTTGATAAAGCAGTCAAACAAGGCTCTTCCCACGCTTGCAAAGGATCAGATGAATTAACCTAAGAACCCCTTTTACTCTAACCTGACATTAGGCCCAATTTTAGCGGTTCTCATACAGTCTCTCTAACGGCTACCGCTAAAAATTCTCTTTTCGTTTCGCCTTGCTCGCCAGAATGTTATTTACAAGGCGAAACGAAATTTGAGCCTGATCTCAGGTTACTTTTGCTCGAGCTTCCGTAAGAGTAAGAGTCTTTAAAATGCAAGCCAAAAGGGTAGTCATGATAACAGGCGTTCTTAGCGGAAAATGTGACAAACTGGGGATGAGAATCGCCGGCACAACATAAAATTTTCAAAACGCCATGTTTTTTGAAGAAAGCTTTAGAAATATTAAAGTAAAAGTGTCGAGCTTTTCCGTAACTCGTCGGTTCATAAATCATCAGATAACGCCAAGAGCCATAAAGATCAACGCTTGAAAGCGTTGATCACTTTGATGGAAGTAAACAACTCAATTTGTTTTCATTTCGATGATGTAGCAGCAAACAACAGCAACTCTTCTTTTCAATATCCTGTTTCTTTTCCCTATAGGTATACTCTAGTGTTTCAAAAACAACTGTTTTGAATCTCAAATGAATCTCAGTTAAAAATACAATCGATCGTGACCATCATTGACCCCCATCATTAAAAACCTACCAAGGGCAGACTTGCACACAACGCTTTAAAAAGGTTAGATTCGACGAGCATCTCTGTATGTGGAATAACAGATATATTTGCACTAACTACAAACAAAGATTCACACAATATTGCCAACCATAAAGAATTGCATGGAAGTCGGCTTAACAGTTTTGTTTTCAATCCACCAACGCAAAGGCAGTCATTGGCTACTGAGTAACCCGCCCAGCTGGCGGGTTTTCTTCCTTTTATATTGCTGGAAATTATTTGTGTTGCCTTGATCGCTTAAGAGCTAAATAACCGCTCTACCTCTAACGTTCCGTTTTGCTGTTAAATGGAAGACCCAGCTAAACTTGTCTAAGTAAATAGCTTTAAAAGTGCCCCATTAGTTTGGGAAAGGCTTGTCTGGTATTTCTTGGTAAAAGATTATGTCAACGAGATATTATTTGTTTTGATTAACGAAAATTACGTATTTTTGCCAGACCTCTTGAGAAAATGCAAAGAATAAGCGGCACATATACGCTGGTTAAATACCGGTCAGTCAAGCTAGCCCGCGTGGCAGACAACACTAAATCGCCTGTATAGGACTATACCAAAAGCCCATAACCCGGAGTGAACAACTTCCATGCGCTCATGTCACGGTGTTTTCATGGACCAGTTTATTTTTAGAAAGGTTTTGGCGCGAATTTGGAATACACTGAAACTTTTATTAAGCAGGCACCCTCGGGGAATGCTGTAGTGTCCGCTTAATACAGGGTGTCCGCCTAATACAGGTTTCGATAGATAATGCCATTATAAGGAGTCAAATGCCATTCAAATGAACAGTGGAAACGTTTAGAATACTCCCAGAGACTATGATGATATACGTTTGCATTAATTTCTTTATTAAAGTGGACCAATTGATCATAGTACCTTAAACACAGATATCAACTCAAATTTGAAGAAATCAGATGAGTGAAACAATCTCTATACAAACAAAATGAAATAGAAAACAATACTATACTGTACTGTATTCAACAATGTGTGACGCAAATTAATGCCGTTCGTCAAGTCACGTTTTTAATGTAAAAATCGAAAAATTTGTTGGTAGGTGTCTGTTGGGGGTGGAATTTCAGTACAAGTATCCGTTTAATACAGGTTAGCAACAATAGCAATGATCATTTCAGGTACTTTTTAGGTGTCCGCGTCCGCTTAATAAAAGTTTCATTTAAAGTAAATAAGGGAAATAAATTTGGGGACTTCGGCTACTGTGCGCTTAATAGAGGGTGCCGGCTTAATACAGGTCTCACTCTTTTAAATTCTACTAACCAGTCAGCAAAACCTACAGACCTAAAAATGATTTTGTTTTCCTTTTTGATATCTTATACTTCGAATGCGCTCATCATAAACATGGGGCAGATTCTATTTTCGCGGGAAAAAGTGCTCTAAAATGTGTCTAAAAATAAACTGGTCCATAAAAACGCCGTGACATACGCTCAGTATGAGAGTTGCTCGCTCTGGGTTATGGGCTATTGACTATACCAATGGCCGAATGCGTGGGTCCGCTGCAACTCAGACTAAGTACAGCGGGATTTTGTTAAATTTAAGAACTTAAAATAAACAAATAAAATATTGTGGTCCATATTTCAACAATCCTTAAAATGCATTGCAATCATTCAATGATAAATTATCTCTCTCGTTGTATTTACAGAGAAAGCAGCTTAATCTGCCTCGACTCCAGGCAGAGGCCAGACTTCAACTGGATATCCAGGCTGCCAAAACTATTGCCTTTACAGTACTGGCATTCTTTGTATGTTATATCCCCCCCGTCTGCATTGCAATCTTGGTTCCTCCCGAGCCCGATGTCACCGCTGCCAGTTGGCCTGGTCATGTGGCCCAGCTTAGCTTATTCCTTTCCAGCGGGACCAATCCTTTTATCTACTGTTTTCGAGCCAGAAGGTTTCGCCGATCACTGAAACAGCTTCTTCAAGATCCCTGTGGAAAAACCGCTTTCCGAGAAATCGACAAAGAGAAAAGGGTCCAACAGAATGTTCCACCTCAGAATGCAAGAGTAGCTGAAAAAGGCAAAAACATTGCGAATGAACTTGGCGAGCCAGTGCAAGATCCATCAGCTTTTCCATCCAATAGCTACACACGTCAATTGGGTCTCGGAGTACGAGGCTGTAAGAAGGAGGAAAACAGCGGAAAGAAACGTAAAGAGAGAGGAGAGCGCTCTTGCTATCAGGTCACGCCTTTCTCTCCACAAGATGTAGAACCTCAGATCATCCCACGGTTAGCATGGGTTGATAACCACCCCGCAGACACTTCAGGGATACGCTCCGATGAAGAAAATCCAACGTGCAGAGAGGATTACGCACAAAATAAAATAACTGTGGAGGTACATCCAGAATCTAACGATCGATCAGCGAAACAGAATTATGAAGAAAATCTCACAACACTTAATGAGAACGGTTCCAAGGGGGAAGAAGTCTTTGCAATGGTTCAGTCTGATTCCAGGGACAGTCAATCAAATCATAAAATGATAAAAAGTCCAATGGTTACTGTAGATTACCATGGACACGCCATTGTGGAGATGTCTGAAACAGATCCTATGAGCCATTTATCAAACCCCATAATTATAGGCAGTCCTGCGGCTAATGAGGACAATGCAAGAGAAGTTATCGCAGACGTTAATTCAAGTTCAACAGACGACCCATCACAGGACAAAATTGCTGAAAGTCCAACTGCCTCTGCCGATTACGCAACACGAATCACCTCAGATACGAAAGAACAACCAGTAAACCAGGAAAACGTGGAAATTCAACTAGATTTCTCGGAGGAAGTCATTGTAGAGGACAATTCATTAACCAAGGGCGTAGCTTCAAACGGGAATATTGTGGAACAACCACCATCCAAGGCAGATTGTGCTATACAGGCTGAGACCTTTAAACCGTGATCATAAACTGGTGCCAAGCGAAGATAACCGTGCTTATGTTTAACTTCCTGAAACATTTTTCATCAAAATAATTGACAGCGTCATTTGTTTGGTTAAACAGTGGAAAATGTCAACCAAAACGAGTGATCACTAGACTTTCCGACTTAAGATGAGGATTGCTTTAAAACGGTGTTGATCAGTTTATTCTACGTATTTGGGGTGCACTGAATGTCGAATGATTTACTGGAAAGGCTTTGGCGATTATTTTTCTACTTTTGTCGCGCCTCTGTCTCCTTATTAATATCGTCTCCGGATTGTTGCTGCTTTTATTTCCAGTGCAATGCTTGGATAATCGTGCTTATTCTGTTGTCTAATACAAGAAGAATTTTTAACAGCTCCCTATATCCAGAGAGCAAAAAGTGTTAAGTAAATTTTAAAAAAGGCATATCTAAGATGATTGATAATTTCTGGATTGCTCTTTGCCGTTAACCATGAAGGATTTTACGAGTCATACCTGTGGTAAATAAAGTGGAAGTATTTTTTCCTAAACAAAAATATTTTTTCGTTTTTAATGCTCCGTTTTACAGAGCAACTTCCATGTCCTCGTGTCCTGGCGTTTTCACTGACTACTTTATTTTAAGAACAAATTTGGCGCAATTATAAAATATCTTTGAGGTCTCAAAAACCACACAGCAAAACCAAACCCTCTAAGAATGGCATTTTATTCCTTTGTCACATCTTATGTTTTAATTCCTTTTCCACATCTGTATCCCCGGTAAAACCGGTCCGTGAAAATGCTGTGAGATAGGCTGCCTGGTATGGGATTGGCACCCCCCGAGTTATGGGCCCCTGGTACGAACAACTAGATGAAAATTACGCCGTAATTTTACTTGACTCTTGATAGCATGTATGGCAGGGGTCAGAAGGGTTTAAAAAGGTTTTTACAATAACTGAGCGACATCTCGCGCATTGATTGGTCGGGAGCTCTGTTCAGCAAGGGCTCAGACCATGGAAATGACGTGATAGCGGAGTAATTTGTTTTTCTGTCGCGCGTACGATTTACCGTAAAATTTAAACAGAAATGGAAATAACAAATCGACAATAATTTCAATGGTCTGTACTCTTAGCGACTATAGAAATGTTTAGGAAATGGCCCAAAAAGTCATAACTTTGCAGAGAAACAACTCGCCTTCGGCTCGTGGTTGCACTTGAGTTTTAAACATTTTGACGTCATTTCTATGGTCTATAAGAGTACAGACCATGGAAAATTGTTGTCGATTTGTTAGTCGTCTTATTCGGACAGATCAAGCGCGTGAGAAGACGAGGAGCACGCGAGGAGTTGCTCTCCTTCCTACTACACGCTTGAGGAGTTGAAGTATAATTGAAAAAAAATTGATCAAAAAGTAGTCAATTGGGAGCTAACGAAATCGTTTGCAATCATTTATAAGAACGCAAGGGGAATAGAACAGATTTTGAGAACACGTTCACGAAGAAGGGGTAAATTTTAACGTAGAATTTGTTTACCGTGGTAACACGTGGTCACACGTGAATTGATTCCCAAGCTAAATTAGCTGCTTTTACCGGGGCTTCATTCGCGCTATTGCGGTAATAATCGCCGTCGATCCATTCGACCATGGCAGTGTTTTATGTTATGTTCTCAATTTACGTATAATTTAGCTGAAATTTCATTTGGTATGTTATTCCTAAAAATTTACCCGAGGTGTATAGCATTTTTTTAAATCTTGGCTCTAGTTCAGCTGCATCTCACTGTTCGCTTGCATGCCTAGTCTGCTACACAGGCGTTTTTAGTGACTAAAAACGGCTGTGTAGCAGGCTATTACATGCCAGGAATAAAACACATTTTTGGGAAATATCGTTTCTAAATCTAGCCCAACAAACCAGTTCCAAATTTTGCGTCAAAATTTCCCTGTTGCTTTCATCTTAAAGTGAAATCTGCCATGTCAACATCGATCTTTATCTCAACAGCGCAAAGGAAACCCGTTGAAAAAGTAGTTTTTATGCAGTTTTATGTTGGTGTCAAATGAAGAAACCTCATTGGCTCTTTGGCCTAAGCCTGGAAAAAATGCCGTTTCTCCTCGCTCTTCGCCGTGAAACGTTCTCAGCGACGAAAAGCGAGGGGAAACAGCTGTTTTCGCAGGCTACTTTGGCCTTGGGTATCGAAAACCGCTAGCAATTTACCACGTTAAATGTTATGGGCGGTTTCTTTCTCTTTTTGACGTAACTATGGATATTTCCAGTGGTAAATTTACCTCGGGAAAGTTCGGTCACACGCACCACGCAAATTTCCCGCGATAAAGGGGTCATTTACCACGGTAAAAGCGTCCCGTGTAACTGCACCTATTGTTGGTTATTGTGAACCAAGCAAGTTTCGAAATGTTTAGCGTCGCTAGAATTATGCTGAGTATTGGAGAACCAATACGACTGGGAATCTATACACATTACAATGCTCGAGTATCTTTATAATCGCAACAAAATGGGGAAAAGGTACAGTGTTCGCTTCGTTAGAATGTATCTGAACGAGAGACAAAGAGGAAACGAAGCGCACGCAAAATAAATCCCCGCTCATTGATTTATTCCCTTTTGTTTTCAACATTTATCTAGCGATACATACAGATATTTATGTACATCGAACGTAGATTAAAGCACGTGAAAATAAATTGTTATACAGTCGTCTCTCTTCGTTCCTCAACGCTGTATTCGCATAGGGGGTTAACATCTATCTTTTCAATTAACTTTCATAAAAAGGAAAAACTTTAATTTTGAAAATATATTGTATATATCTGTTCTTTATTAAAGCAATAGGAAATACGTCAGAAACTTCGCCCAAAACGTGCAATCGCATCACGTGTCAGCCACAGATGGAACTTCAATTTTGTTTAAAAAAGCTAACACCCTTACTACCTAGAAACTAAGGTCGTTGACGCCTGACGCAGGCAAACAGTCATGGATGTCGACTTCTCGTCCCTGGCTATCTTCATCCTTGTACTTCTTTCAATTGTTGCTGTCTTCGCAGTTCTTGGTAATGGCTTCGTTCTAGGTATTGTTGCTCGGTTTAAGACATTTCGCACCTTTCCAAACATTCTGATAGCCAATCTAGCTTTGATCGATTTTTTCAACGCACTCATCAACATACCTATTTACCTGCTTTGGGCTGTCCTGAACGTAGAATGGTTTACAGGAAAGGCTCTGGCAACTATTTCACTGCTTCTGTCACGCCTCTTTATCATTCTCAACATCGTCTCCATGGTGGTGCTGGTCGTAAATGTGTTTCTAGCGATAGAACTGGACCTAAAATATTACACATGGAAGACGAATGAAAAAGCAGTGAAAATAGTCCTTGTAGAATGGGTGGTCTGTGTCATCGCAACTGCTTTGTTGTCGTGGTTTGATTCTGATATCGACCTCCAAGATGCCTCTGTTGTCAGATATCGTCGTTCCATGTTAAATAAATCCCAAAAGGTCTTTGCGGTGATCATCGCAGTTTTCATTTTCTCTGCGATAACATTTGGCGTCCTGGCTTTCTCCTCAATTCAAAGAAAGAAACGGCAGGTGAGATCACAAATGTCAGTATTCTTTTTTTCCTTTTTCAATCACCAGGTTTTCCTATGTATCCCTTTTAACAGGATGGCGGAGTGCCTAGAATTTGTACAGTCTCGAAGTCTTTCCTTCCCATGACCTATGCTTGACGCTCACACATAAACGGCCAAGCGTAGCAACGTTCACGGCTTAATTGCGTTCATTAATTCTTACATCGGTGATCATTGCAGCATCTCAATATTTCTATTTCTAGTATATATTTCCTCCATTAACAACTAAGAAGAAGATTTATGATTCTCGGCTGCTTATAACTCTTCAAGGAAACTGAAAATACTCTTATCAGGCTTCATTTCCACCACGAGTAGAATTATGTTGCATGAATTCAAGTTTTAGCCTGATTATCTATGGCGTTCTTTCATAGAGAAAGCGGTTAAATCTACCTCGACTCCAAGCTGAGGCCAGACTTCAATGTGATGTCCAGGCTGCCAAAACTGTCATCATTACTGTCTTCGCATTCATAGCGTGCTACATTTCGCCCGTCTGCTTTGCAATCTTGGCTCCTCCCCAGCCTGATGATACCACTATGGATTGGCGCGGCCACATAGCCTACTTTTCCAACTTTTTGTCTAGCGGGATCAACCCTGTTATCTACAGTTTCCGCGCCAGAAGGTTTCGCCGTGCCCTGAAACAGCTTCTGCAAGATCCCTGTGGAAAAACGGCTTTCCGAGAAAAAAAACAAGAACAACGAGTCAAAAAGAATGTTCCACACCAGAATGCTGGCGTGGCTGAAGAAGGCAAAGAAATTGCGATTGAACTTGGCGAGTTTAGGCAGGATCCTTCAGCTTGCTCATCCAAAAGCTGCACACGTCAACTTGGTCAAAAAGGAAGAGGCTGTAGAAGGGAGGAAAACAGGAAAGAAAGAGGACGGTGCCCGCGTAATCAGATCATGCCCTTCTCATCACAGGATACCCAACGTCCGATCAACTCACGGTTAGCGTGGATTGATAACCATCCCGCTGACTCTGCAGGGACAAGCTCCGGAAAAGAACGTCCAAAGTGCAGAGAGGATTACACACAAAATAAAATAACTATGAAGGTACATCCAGAACCTAACGACCGATCATCGAAACAGAAAAATGAAGAAAACCTCACAACACCTAATGAGAACGGTTCCAAGGGGGGATGTAATGATTTACTGAGATCCCCGGACAATCCTGCAAACCAGAAAACGATAAAAATTCCAGTGGTTATGGAAGACAACAATGGAGACGCCATTGTGAAGACGTCTAAAACAGATCCTGTGAGCCATTTGTCAAACCCCATAATAATGGATAGCCCTGCGGCTATTGAGCAGCGGCACCCAACGAGAATATAGATCAAAACCAGCATTGTTAAACATATTTTAGTATTTAAACGGTATATATAGGCGTATTTTTATCCCCTAAAAATTTTTCATCTGTTCG